AAGACTGACACAGAACCGCCAATCACAGCACAGATGGTTTGTGCCGTGAGAGCAGATATAACCCATCCCACGCATCAAGAGAGTGTGAAGGCAACAAAGATAGCTTCCTAAAGGAGATGTTGCAAGAGTAAGTGGGACTTTGAACAAAGGCCTCCCTTCTTTGGCAGAAAGGGTTCTACAATGGAAACTCAACCCAAACGAGGGCCAACGTCGGGCAGTAGGGACACTGGCTTAATTCTATCTACCCCACTACTCTGGCCCCCCAGTTTCTTTTGCGTCTCCCTCGAAGAGTCTACCAGCATGAGTAGACAGAAGGGTGGAATCACCTTTCTCAAGCTTTCTATTTATTTGTTGCAGCCAAGCAGTTAATTAATTTTGGGAGATTCTCAGAATTATTCTAGCACTCCCATCCAAACCTCAATTAATGAAAAGCTTTACTGAGGTTGTTCTCCAGAGCGTTCAACTTCATTCTTTCTTGTTTTAACACTGAATAGGCTGTCTTTGAGGCCAGCAGCTTAGGAGGGCTGCTTAGGCGTTTGCTGCTTACCATTTTCAGCAGCTCAGCTGTAACTAAGGATTTTGACCACCAACTGGGCTTTCAACACTACTTCTACTCAAGGACCTGGTCATAAAGGCTGTTCTTGGCTCAGAGAGACCTTGTCCCACCTCCATTCCTATGGCTACTTCTCTAAACAGCCATGTCAACAATCATTCTGTTCACTCAACCCAGTTCACATTTGGAGGGCATTACAACTCAATTAAAATGTTTACAATGGGGTCAGTTATAAGATGCTTGAGGAAGGTTTACACAATAAAACCTCACGGATCAATGTCATGGAGGAAATATGAACCCAGAGGCTTTCAGTCCAAGGAAGAGAAAATTAGGGACACTTCCTACATTCGGACCCTGAATATTTCCTCTGGATGAGGTGCACCTGCAGGCATTACACTGCCCCCAAACACCGGGCATGTTTAGTTTGAGAGGATTTGCTTGAGGATTACAACAAGTGAATGCATCAACGGATAAGGAGAATGACTAACGGTATCTTGGAGTAGAAGGAGGATATCTTGGGACTGACCATATCTGTTGAGGTATGGAGTAGAACAGTATCAGTAGCCACTCAGAGGTTCAAGTGCAATGGGTTCTGTGATTGTCTTCTTCAATTAATCAATCAATATATCTACACCCTCTCCCTCTTTCCACTTCCATTTCTTCTCTTTCTACTTTTTTCTCTTCCTCTCCCTCTTTCTTTATCCCCTCATCACTCTACCACTGCTCTGCACCCTTTCACCCTCTTTCTTTTTTTCCCCACACATAAAAACAGAGCATGTTTATTTGGGGAAAAAGTTTTACCCTGTCCTCATACTCTAATCTAAAATAAATTCTAAATTGATTGGAGAGATAAATGTTCAATAAAAAGAATTACAGAACTAAAAAACTAGCTCCACAAGGATTCAGTCCTAGTCAGAGTAGGTGTATGTGAGCAGTATAAAAGAGGCAGAAATCACAGAGAAAAAAGGCTGAGAGGGTTGCCAGAATTAACACTTTAAAAACTATCTGTGTCATAAAACAACATAAAGAAAAAGCAAAAGCAAAGAACAAACTCAACGAGTTTTTTGGAATTAAATGAGAAATCAGTAGTAGAATAACAAAAGAATATTTGGGAACTAAAAAATACAATAACCAAAATAAAAAGCTTACTATTTTTATATAATGATTTCTTTCTCTTAGGGCACGTACCCAGTAGTGAGATTGCTGTATCAAAAGGTGGCTCTATTTTTAGTTCTTTGAGAAATCTCCACATTGTTTTCCATAGAGGTTGTACTAATTTACATTCCCACCACCAGTGTATAAGTGTTCTTTTTTCTCTGCATCTTCACTGACTCTGTTGTTTTTGGCTTTTGAATAATAACCATTCTGACTGGTGTAAGATGGTATTTCATTGTTGTTTTGATCTGCATTTCTCTGATTAGTGATGTTGAATTTTTTTATATGCTTTTTAACCATTTGGATGTCTTCTTTTGAAAAATGTCTGTTCATGTTATTTCCCTTTTTTTTTTTTTTTTTTTTTTTAGTTGGGGTCTGATCATGGCCCACTGCAGCCTTGACTTCCTGAGCTCAGGCAATCCTGCCTCAGCCTCCCAAGTAGCTGTCACCCTGACTCTTATTCTTTATTGCTCTCATTTTCCTATGGCACATGTTAGGTGCAATTGAATTTGCCTTTACCACACAATCACATCCTTATCTACTTCACCAAGAAGATCAGACCCAGCCCCCAAATCAGGACTCCCAGATTAATATAATAAAATTCCAACCAACAAGCTTGAGGAGATCTCCTAGAAAAGAGAGTTTTGCAAAAGCCACCCTGGGATGGATGAATTGGCCAAATAAAAAAGAAATGTTACTTTCTTATAGAGGAACCAAATAAAATTTGGATGACTAGAAGGATAGGATGGCCAGATGGAGAGGAGAATTGCTGGCTCTAGTCTATGGTCTTCCCTATTCTGGAAGACAAATCTCCACATCCTATATTCCCTTATGTGATCACTGTATAGATTCCACTGCTTTCATTTTTTCATCAATAATTTCTTCCTCTTACAGTAGCCTGATGAAACACCACCCTTCTAAGTCCTATGTTCACATCTAGTTTTTATTTTTTTTTCGCTTTTCTTAATGGCAACCAGTGATCATCAGCATCTCCCTGAAGTTGTTTCCTCTCTTGGCTTCTGCATCAAAGCCATTCTCTCTCTCTCTCTCTCTCTCTCTCTCTCTCACACACACACACACACACACACACACACACACACACACACACACACACTCTCAGTCAGTATGGTGAAATGGACTGACAGATAAATATCCACTCCATTATTTTAAATACAGATAAATTCTGAACTATTACCAGCTTTAATACATATATAATGCATTGAAGCATCCAGAAATACAGTGCATCTCAAAGCCAGAGCAGGAGCTGAAACATAAATGGCTCACAGGAGCGTCATTCTATACCAACTGAAGTAGTATTCAAAGATGGAAGGAAATAAAGACATCTTCAGACACTCAAAGATTTAGAGAGTTTGCTAGTTATAGATTATCAGTCAAAGTACTGCTAAATGGTGCAAAAGAAAGAAATTAAAGCCAAAGGACGGTAGGGGACTCAAAGAGTAATAGTCAGTAAATGAATTGTTAACAAATTTGTTAGGAAATCTAAAGAAGACTTTAAAATTTAGAAAGGAACTATTTTGAAAGATGGAAGAAGGAATAAAGAAAATTCAACCCATCCAAAAGAAGACAGGAAAGGCAAAATATATATAATAAATAGAAGGCGGGCTCGGTGGCTCAGCCTGTAATCCCGCGCCTTGGGAGGCTGAGGTGAGTGAATTGCCTAAGCCTGTGGGTTCGAGACCCGCCTGGGCAACTTGGTGAGATCTCATTTCTACAATAAATCAAAAAATTAGCCGGGTGTGGTAGCGCGTGCCTGTAGTTCCAGCTACTTGGAAGGCTGAGGCGGAAGGATCGCCAGAGCCCAGCAGGTTGAGGCTGCGGTGGCCGGGAGCGGCCACTGCACTCCAGTCTGGGTGGCAGAGTGAGACTCCAATTAAAAATAATAATAATTAATAAATAAATAAATAGAAATCTCTAAATAAGATGGAAGTAATAAGTCCAAATATATCAATATTCATGATATCCTTAATGCTGATCTTGTCAGTTAAAACCGTAACGACACTCAATGAAAGTGAGAAAGCAAAAAGAAATAAAGAAAAAAAAGATAGAAGAGTCACAATTAAAGCAAATTCACAGAAAAAGGTAAAAGATAAAGACAGGGGAAATATATACAGCCAACTATTAATCAAAATAAAAATAATGTATAATTTTAATATTGGATAATAGGGAATTTAAGGAAACAAATATTAATAGGGCCGGGCTCAGTGGCTCAGCCTGTAATCCCAGCGCTTTGGGAGGCCAAGGTGAGTGGATTGCCTGAGCCTGCAGGTTTGAGACCCGCCTGGGCAACTTGGCAAGACCTTGTCTCTACAATAAATAAAAAATTAGCCAGGCATGGTAGCGCACACCTGTAGTTCTGGCTACTTGGAAGGCTAAGGTGGAAGGAACGCTGGAGCCCAGCAGGTTGAGGCTGCAGTGGCCAGGAGTGTGCCACTGCACTCCAGTCTGGGCGACCGAGTGAGACACCAACTCAAAAAACATATATATATATAATTATATATAAATAATTAAAGAAGAGCATCATATGTTTGTTAAGAAGAAAGTTAAAAAAAATCCCCAGAAGATATAATCTAATTGGACTCAATAAAATAACTTTAAAATTTATGTAGTAGAAATAAACCAAATTACAAGGAAAAACCTCTCTCAAAATTGCCAGACTGAATCTGGCATGATGGCTCACACTTGTAATTGCCGGACTTTGGGAGGTCGAGGTGGGAGGACTGCATGAAGGAGGAGTTTGATACCAGCCTAGGCAACATAGTAAGACATCATAAATTATATATGCTGGGTGTGGTGGCATACACCTCTATTACCAGCTACTCAGGAGGCTGAGGCAGAAGGATTGCCTGAGCCCAGGAGGTTGAGGCTGTGGTGAGCTATGATTGTGTCATTACACTCCAGGCTGGGCAACAGAGTGAAACCCAACTAAAAACAACAACAACAACAATAAAATAAAAAAACAAAAACAAAACTGCTAGAGTGAAGTAAATGGGCATTATATCTGCAACTTACTCTCAAATTATTCAGACAATAGACTAGATCTTGATCTAAACCTGGATATAATAAATAATGAAGCAAAGGTGGTAAAATGTTGACATTTTGGGAAACTGTGTGAGGGAATATGAAAATTTTGTGTACTATTTTTGCAATAATATTGTAAGCTTGAAATAAAAAATTTTTAAGTTTAAAAAACACCAATGCTGATGCTTACACTGAAGTCCTGATTTAATAATCTGGAATGGATCATCATCACGGGTGCCACGCCCCAAGGGACGGTCTGGGGTCCGGGGTGGTGCGGCGGCGAGACTGACTGGGAAGATGTCAGTGGTGGTGATGGTGGAAAGTGCCTTCCGTTTCAAAAAGTTGCTGGATCAGTGCGAGAACCAGGAACTCGAGGCTCCTGGAGGAATTGCTACACCCCCAGTGTATGGTCAGCTTCTAGCTTTATATTTGCTCCATAATGACATGAATAATGCAAGATATCTTTGGAAAAGAATTCCACCTGCTATAAAATCTGCAAATTCTGAACTTGGGGGAATTTGGCCAGTAGGACAGAGAATCCAGCAGAGAGATTTCCCTGGGATCTACACGACCATCAGTGCTCACCAGTGGTCTGAGACAGTCCAGCCAATCATCGAAGCACTTAGAGATGCGACAAGGAGAGGAGCCTTCGCCCTGTTCTCCCAAGCATACACCTCAATAGTAGCCGATGACTTTGCAGCCTTCATTGGACTTCCTGTAGAAGAGGCTGTGAAAGGTATATTAGAACAAGGATGGCAAGCCGACTCCACCACAAGAATTGTTCTGCCCAGAAAGCCAGTTGCAGGGGCCCTGGATACTTCCTTTAATAAGTTTACTCCGTTTCAGAGCCTACACCAGTTCCCCCAATCCCTAATGAACAGCAGTTAGCCAGACTGACCGATTATGTGGCTTTCCTTGAAAACTGATTTATCACCCTGAGTTCAAGATCCACCTTCAGAATTCTGCATACTGACAAATATAGAAATGTAAAATGTTTATTTTCAATTTATTAGATGGATTAAGCACTTCAGCATTCCTTACTGAGTATGAGATATGATACATATATAAGGTATATTATATGTGTTTTGTCCTAAAACATTATGCTGAATAGTTGTTGAAACAATGCTCATTTTGTAATATTTAACGATCTGGATGGAGCCCATCAGTGTTATGGGGTTAGTTTATATTTTGTGGTGACTCATAAAATAAGATCTCCTGTTTCATGTAGAACAGTAGTTGTCAACTTTCTTTTCCCTGCCCCAACACAGGCCAAACTCTTATCTGTACCACTGGTTGATAATTGTAGTGATTCATTTGGAATTTGAGGAGAACTGTCCCCAGGGGCAATATCTGAATTGCTGGAGACTGTGATTCACCTTCTTTGTAGAATATGCTCTCTTTTCTCCCCATATCCTGAGAGCTACTAATGCCAAATACAGAAATATAGCTGAGAAACAAATAAATCATTCTCATAGTAAACCAGTTTGTTAACTTTAGATTTTTTTTCCAGTAGTGTGAGTACACCCATTGCTGGCCGTGGAGGGCTTGCAGTGAAAATGGAACTTATTTAAGACATTCGTGAGAAGTATTAAGTTGTGCTGTGTCCTTTCAGAAGAAGGTAAACTTAAGTATGGAATATGTTATATGTGGAAAGGAGCTATTAAGTGATACACTTTGTACAACCATCCTGCAGCCTACTGGTTGCTTATATTTATCTCTTGATTCAAGTTCTACCCTTTGGAGAAATACTAAACAAGTCTTTTATTCTTTGTGTGACAGGCTTTTGAGTATTTGAAGTTGTTTGTTGTGTTTTCAGGTAAAAACACCCCTTCCCCTTAGTTCATTTATTCTGCATTTGTTCAATAAATATTTAACTAATAATAATAATAATAATAATAATAATCTGGAATGGGATCCCAGCAATAGCATTTATATAAAGTTTCAGGTGATTCTGATATTTTAAAAACTCTGATAAATCAAGCATAGCGATAATAAGTAATAAGAGAAAAGTTTTGAAAGGTACAATTATCAAGCATAATCTAATAGCTATGTTGGGTAGACAGCTCAATTAGAAAAAAGGTAAGATAAATGGACACTTCACAAAAGGGGGTAATGGTCAGTAAATGTATTTTAAAAGGGTCAATTTTTTTAGTCATCAGGTAGATTCAAATTAAAACCATAATGAGAGATGACTGCACCACCCACCAGAATGGTGAACATGGAAAAGATAATATGAAGTGTTGGGGAAGATGTGGAGCAACTAGAACTCTCATATGCCACTGGAGGGAATATAAGTTGGTGCGCCTGCTTTGGAAAACTGCTTAACGGTATCTACTAATGCTAGTTTTATACACGCCCTACGAAGCAGCAATTCTACTCCTAGGTATACCCCCAACAGAAAAGCATGCTAATGTTCATCAAGACACATATATAACAATGCTCATAGCAGTACTATTCATAGTAGTCAAAAATGGAATGGGTGGGGTGGAGGGGAGCCCGAAATATTCAACAATAAAGTGTATTAAAAATCATGGTAAGTGTATATGATGGAATACCATATATCAATGACAATAAAGAAGCTACAATTATATGTAACAGTGTGGATAAAGCTTATGGAAAGAATGTTGAATCAAATATAGCAGACACAAAAGAATGAGTATTGCATGTTCTATTTACATGGAGCTCCAAGTCTAGCAAAATCAGTCAATGGTGTTAGATGTCAGAACAGTGGCTGTCTTGAGAGAGAACAGTGATTAAGAGGGGGACAGGAGGGGGATATTAATGATCTGAGTGCTGAATACATGAGTGCATTCATTTTAATGAAAATTCATCAAGCAGTACACTTATGATGTATGTACGTCTCTCTAGATGCTACACTTCAAGAAAATGGCCACTTAAAAGATAAAACGCATGTCAGTTTAGCTTTCTGCTACTATTTTAAAAAGTGACTTAAGAATATCCAACCTAAAAAGTTCGGGAAATTATGTTATAGAGGTGGGTGAGAACATCAATTGCAAAAACCATGATGCTTTTTTTTCCTAGGAAATTCATACCTATGAAGAGGACTTGCATTCAAGAATAAAGGCTGTAATGAAGCAACATGATATTGGAACAAGAATATTCAAACAGATCCATAGAGCAGAACTGAGCGCACAGAAACAAACCTCTACATACACAACTACTGGATTTATGATGAGGCACCTTGCAATTCAGTGAGGAAAGAGTGGTTCTTTTAGCAAATGGTCTTGGGTCAATCATTTATCTATATGGGAAAAATGAACTTTGATACTCACTTAATACTACCCACAAAAATACATGTAAACTAAGTTCTAGATCTTAATGTGAAAGGTAAAACAGTGCAGCTTCTAGAATAAAACATAGAAGAGCAATTTTATGACCATAGGGGTGGTCAAATATTTCTTAAGTGAACTACAAAAGGTGGTAACCATTAAAAATAAGGTTGATCAATTGAACTACATCAAAATTAAGAAACTTCTCTTCACCAAAAGATACCGTTAAGAGAGTGAAAAGGCAAATCACAGACTGAGAGATGTTCATAAAACCTATACCCAACATTAGTGTCCAGAATATGTAGTGGAAATCTTCAAACAAAAAAAAAGAGAAACAATCTCATTTTTTAGATGACCAAAAGATTTAAACAGGTGCTGTCTTAGTCTGTTTTGTGTTGCATAGCAGAATACTTGAGGCTGGGTAATTTATAGAGAAAGAGGGTTATTTAGCTCATGGTTCCACAGGCTGTGAAGTTCAAGGATATGACCTGGTTTCTGGCAAAAGCTTTCGTGCTGTGGACATGGTCAAAAGGGAAACAGACATGTCCAAAGAGAGGAAAACCCTAGGGGCACCCTAGTTTTATAACAACTCACTTTTGTGGATACTAATCCATTCCTTCAAGAACTAGTTGAGCTTTCTGAGTGCAAGAACTCACTCACTACCTCAAGATCCACCCCCTATAGCCCAAACACCTCCCACAAAGACCCGCCTCCTAACACTGCCACATTAGGGGCCAAATTTTAATATGAGCTTTGGTGAGGAAAAACAAACCATATGAAAGCCATAGCAGGTACTTTGCAAAAGAGAATAACCAAATAGCCAATAAGCAAATAAAATTATTTAACATTAGAGACACAAATTCAGATCACAGTGAAATGCTATTATACACCCACCTGAATAGCTCAAATTAAAAGGGCAGCAAGGCTAAGTGTTGACAAGGAGTAACTTGTACACTCATACTTCACTAGTGGGAATTTAAGTTAGCGCAGCCATTTGAAAAACCATTTGGCAATATCTACTATGGCTAAACTATGTCCACCCTGGGACCTAACAGTCTTACGAAGTATGTAGTCTAAGAAATAAGATTGCTGCCTAAGAGACTGTACAAGAATGTCCACAACAGCTTAATTCCAAATACCTCCAAATTGGAAACAACCCAAATATCCACCAGCAGTGAGATGAATAAAAAAAAATAGAATATATATACAATAGAAAAACACACAGCAATAAAAAAAAGCACAGCTACACATGACCTGGAGAATCTACAGACATGGGAAATCAGTGAAAGTTCCCATCCCAGTGCTAAAGATCCCATCCTATACCATCCCATTTACCTGAATGTCAAGAACAAACTAGTTCATGGTAATAGAGACATTAAAGTCATTTTGTCTGGGGCAGCCATTGGAATTAACAGGGAAGGGGCATTATTAGGGAGTATTAGGGATCTTCCATGATGTTGTAAATATTTTCTATTTTGAGCTGAGGGGTCAGACACATACCTATCTGTGCACGTGTGGTTGTGTTGTACAAAAATTCACTGAGTTATATACTTGAAATCTGTGCTCCTCTTTGTATATATGCTATATATCAATAAAAAGTTGAAAGAGGTTGGGCACAATGGAGCATACCTGTAATCCCAGCATTTTGGGAGGCTGAGGTGGGAGGACTGCTTGAACCCAGGAGTTAGGGACCAAGTTGGGCAACACAGCAAGACCTCATCTCTACCAAAAATGAAAAATAAGCTGGGACAGAGCGGCAGTCCCTGTAGTCCTCGCTACTCAGGAGGCTGAGGAGGTCAAGGCTGCCATGAGCTGTGATCACTGTGATCGTGCCATTGCACTCCAGCCTGGATGACAATGAGAGTGAGACACACACACACACACACACACACACACACACACACACACACACACACAAGAAAAGAAAAAGAAAAAAAATACTCTTTGAGATAGGAAATTGCCTCATCCTACTTGTTACACCAAAGGAAAGTGCAATTCTATTCTAGATTTTGATAAAAGATAAGGAAAAATGGAATCATTTTCTGAAAAAAATTATGGTGAACCCAGGATCTGCAAAAAGTTTATTTTTAACTCCATTTGTACAACTTGTCTCTGGCAGACTTCTACACACATGCAGTTCCAGAGCTTGTGGAAATTCTTGTAATCTACATACTAGGGGGTATAAAACATGAAGTTTCAACAGTGCGGCTCAGCTCAGTGAGAGTAAACTGAGTTCCAAAGCAAAATGAGCCTCTTCGGGGAGAAATCTGTAGGGAAACAAAGGAAATGTCAGACTCCAGTGGCGTTTTTGTTTATGGTTAGTAGTACTTGATGGGCAGGGAGGGAAGTTTTCCAGACATCCTCCATTCTTTCTGATGCCTGTCCTAGAGCCCAGATGGTGACCAGAGGCATTGCCAGACATTCTGAGGGAGTTAAGTGGAAGAGCCCCCATCTTGCGATAAAACATACATTTGAGTTATGAAAATAAAGAAAACAAATGAAGAAAATAAAAGTAAAGGGGCTGTATTCTGTAAATCAGTTGAGAAGCCTGAGTGCTCTCTGCAATAGGCATGTCTGTATGTGCCAGTGTGGACAGAGATCCCAGGAGAGCAAAGGAGAACACGATTCAGTCTAGAGCCAAGACAAGGCCTTCTCCGGGCTACCACTGGCCGAAGCCCTCAAAATATCCTGGAGTGGGATGGGACTGCCTGTTAGCATCTCCATAATCATCACCACCATCACCATCATTATCATTAATAACTAGCTAACTGTGCTAATGTTTATCATACATTTCTCATTTATTCTGCAATACTCCTACACACAAAGTAGTGCTATTATTATCCTTATAAACCGAGGCTTACAGAAGTAAAGTAACTTGCTTGAGGCCAACCTAGCTAGTTGACACGAGAGCAACCTCCTAGTTATGTGTGTCTGATCTATTGCTGCAACCCACCTGCAGGAACT